GTGGTGTTACTTCACCTACATCACAACACATGTGACTGGAAAGCATTATAAATACAACATGTCTGTCACAGGATCTACTTGTTTGGACACAATAAGTATTTCTGGATTCACCAGCATATTCAGTGAATTATGAAATGGTGTAAAAGCAGTTTTACTATGGAATGTAAATATTAAAATAAAACACTATTTTCTTTCCCCAGAGCCACTAGGTTTTTTTTTGTTTCTGTAAAATGTTTATAACCAAATAAAGCAGGACGAAGCCAAAAGCCCCTCCTTGTGTGAAACGCTGAAAAGAGCAAACCTGTTATTTCTGCTTGATCATCGACGATTACAGTGATTACACTGATTGTGGAAATTGCTGCTGACTGTTTCTCTCTTATCTTTTTTTTTGTCCATTTCAGAATATTGCTGAATCATTTCCAAAGCAACCAGCAATAACAACAACGCAAGAGTTCAACCTTCGGCAACAAAACACTTTTTTCCCTTTTACAAACAATAAAACTTCTCTTTGCTTAAATTCTAGTCATTTTAATGGTGATATGAAAAACATTATTCTGTACGTTAAATTAGCAAACATACGAAGGGATAGTTCCCGTTTTTTGAACCGGGATTCTGTTGAAAGGTTAAAAACAGACATGTGATGGATAACTCCTTGGATAAAATAACTCAACCTGTGAATTCGATTCTGTTTTCAAATCTGAGGTCATTCAAAGAGCGATCGACACGTTCCAGTCCACGAGACAGATTGAGTCTCTATTGCTTCTCATTTTGCTTTAAAAAACAGCATTTTTATTGCAGAAACATGTCAAAGAAGAAGAAGATCAAACTCAGAGGATCTTGCAGCCAAGAAAAAGTGTCAAGTGTCTGAGAAACAATTATTTTTTTATGTTCTCTTTCTAGTTTGGATTTTTAATGAGTCTTTTTTTTTCTGATTTAACCAAATTTAATCTAATTGCCTTACCAGGAAATAAAAGAATCTAACTGCTGATAAAAAGCCAGGCTTGAATTTCTTTTCTTTCTTTTCATCTTCATGCTACATTTGCTTTGAAATCTGGTCAGTGTATCTTTTGGTTGTTGGATTTTTATTTTAGAAACAGGTATTAAAAAACAAGAATTGAGTGGATATTTGATTTTTGTTTCAAAATACTGAAATTAAAATTCAAACAAAGCGTTTCTCATTCTTAGTGTCAAAAGGGGATGAGCAAAATTTTTTAAATGATTTGAGTTTCATTTTCTGTTTCAGATAGCAAAAAAGAAAATTAGTTTAAGGCAGAAAT